TACAACAAATCATTTGAATGTTTACCCAATCCTTACATCAATGAAGAGTTTATTCTTATGAATGCGAGTCAAACACAGTATAGAATATGTGGTAATAATAATACAAATACAGGATATTCTGTTAATAAAAACTATTGCCAACAGAAATGTATTAAAAATTGTGAACAAAAATACTATTCATTAGAATTGGAAGACAATGACTATTCTGCACAAAATGACAGCAAAATTAGGATTGAATTCAAAAGTAGTCAAGAATTTCACTACAATTCACACAAAAAGTATTCATTCGTTGACTTCATGTCAAAAATCGGAGGATTAGTTAGCCTATGGTTTGGGATGTCTTTCATAGATACCAGTGCTCTCATTAGACTCGTATTAATTCGTATTAAATATAATATAAATATTTTACTTATTCAACGATTTCAAGTTTTAATAACATTTGTGAAAATAATTATAGAAAGACTTTTAAAATACAAATGGAAAAGAATTATAAAATGTATTACAATTCCTATAATATGTTATCAAATGTATGTATTAATTGATAGTTACTTACAATTCTTGACCCAAACCTCAATACAAATGATTCAATACAGAAATATCTCAAATAATAACCACATTTCTCTGCAATCGATTCCTTCAATCACTTTATGCTATGAAAACACTTTTGAAGACATTTTATTTGATCCCTATATTAGACAACATTTTCTAAATATATTCAATAAAATAAATTTTACTCAGCTGGATAAATTTCCAATAAATTCCACTGATGATTATATTAATAAATTTATTTTATATCATTATAATTTCTTGAAACAAAATCTTGGGAGTCGTTTTTATATTAAGCACATATTACCAATGTTATTACGATATATGAATGTCAATACTTATCAGGAATTTAAGAAAAATTTGTTAATAATTAATGATAATATCATTAACTCAACCCTATATGAACTAGGTGTCTATTCATCATTAACCACTTGTCGTACAATTCAATTTAAATGTATTAAATTGATACGAAAAATTAATATATTATCCTATTTTGGAAAATGTCACACATATTTATCGGACGTTAAAAAGTATAACTCAAATTACAACGATTTTGCTATTAATATAGATTTTTTCCACCAACTTTGTTTGAATGAAGTTGAAAATAAATTTTTTATTTTTAAAAAAAGATTTATAATACATTCACAAAACACTTTCCCACTTATTAGCGATAATGTGATTGAATTCAAAGGCAATCCTAATAATGAAAATAAATTAATTAAAATAATTAGATATTCATTCAAACGATTGCCGAAACCATACGAAACCCAATGCTATGAATATCCGACAAATGAAACACAATTTCATTGTTTGAATAAATGCTACGAAAAGTCATATCAGAATCATTTCCAATGTATTCCCAAATATAATAGTTTACTAACCATNAATCATTTCCAATGTATTCCCAAATATAATAGTTTACTAACCATTCGGTTATACGACGACTATATTGACCCAAATGTCACGTTTTGTTCAGATTTTTATATAAACCAAAAAAATGAATTCAATTATGAAATGCTTAGTTATTGCACAAAAATATGTCCTGTCTCATGTAGCAGTAATATGTTCTTACATACAATTAGTTCCCCAATTCTAGATGCGAGTCCCTATTTGGAGGCAAACCAATTTATTATAAACGATAAATTTTACCTTCAAATAACATATTTGCCACAATTATTGTTCATACAACTGGTCATAAGTATCGCCAATATATTGAGTCTATGGCACGGAATCAGTTTCATTGGTTTACTACAGGATATCATTGCATTCATCAATAGAAATGCTACACATATTTATATTCAACAAATTATAGAATATATTGGATCATTACGGGTAAAACATCATATTCATGTATGTATCATATTTTACTATGAACATTTAAGTAATTTATACAGTTTACGTTGTATTTTACAGCGCATATTATCGGTAATACTTTTGGCACTACTTGTGTACCAATTATACGACATATCTGTGCATTACTTCAGTTATGAATCCATTATCACAATCGACACCAACGACTACCAAACCGATGGAAACTACCCTTTTATCACATTAGCTTACCATAAAAGTAATTTATCACTCGACCTGGAATGTGTTGAAGAATATAAATGCAGTTTCAACAAACACATTGTAAAACTAATTCATGAACATGTTAGCGATTATAGCGTATTCAACCAATATTACCTATTTGATAATATGGTAAATATGCATCAAATTAAATATTGCAACAGTTTTTGTACTCTATTTGATACGGATTTCATATTAAGAACATTATATCTGAATGAGTCGATTGTGAAAAACAATAATTATATCAATAATAATCAATTTTTATCATTAAAACACATAAAATATAATCCTAATCTATTGCGCGTATATATACACTCAACACCATATCTTAAGGATTTTGATAAATTTGTTACATTTGCTAATTTTGGGCACAATTTTACCTTCCTCATTAGGAAAATAGTGATACAATATTTGCCTGCACCTCATGGTAACTGTAGTTTTTATACCGGGATTACTGGTGAACAACCATTTGGTTCTGAATCGCATACACAGTGTGTGAGACGTTGTGTCGGATATTATTGGAGACAAAGACACAAATGTTATCCGATTTTCATTGATAATTATTTCCACGAATTGGACTATGAATCTAATGATATGCAAAGCTATTGCTATTATGGTGATAGTGACTCAAATCTAATATATTATAATATTAGTGTTGAATGTTTGAAATATTGTCCCAAAGATTGTCTGTCCGTTGAGTACAACTCGAGATTCATGTCAAGTGATTCACAAATTGGTAACGATTTCTGGTTTAATACGAGTGTTGAAAATAGATTTATAGAAAAGTCCTTCATTTGGGATTCAACACAACCCCTGTATGTCTATCGGGAGGAACCGGTTATGTCTCTA